TCAAAGCAGAATCAATAATCTCGACTAAAGCAGAATTGAATCATGAAAACATGCATAGATTGAATACGAACTCAAGATTATCAAGTCAGAGTACTCATACAATCATCCAATCAAACAAACATAGCTAGGGTTCCGCAAAACCTAAGTGAAGGGAAGTTATTCCATAGAGAAGAGAGATACTGCAGTAAGAATCTTCAGATGATCAGTCTTCAAGTCCGGGCTTATTCCTCGAGCTTCCAAGGTGAAGAAATCCTCCAATTCCACTCCAAGAATGCCCTCAAATCGCCCCCTCTCTCTTTGGTTCGTCCCTTGGGTGTTTGGGATCCAAAACCCAGCTCTCCTCTCCTTTGGCTCGAATTTGGGTTAAAAAACCCGATTCTGGGCAAAACACGGTCGCCGGCACGGCCGTGCTTTGCTTTTGACCGCCCGTGTTTTGCCCCGTGTTAAAAACACGCTCGGGCGCGTCGGTCAAAACACGGTCATGCCTAAATATGGGCACGGCCGTGTTTTGATTTAGGCGCGCCCGTGTTTTTACTGCCGAACCTATTCCCCTATATTCAATGCTTCGTTTCTCCATCGTCCGGACTCCGAATCAGTCGCCGTTTGATCCCAGACGCTCGTAGTCTCGTCCTCTTTCTTTTCATGACAAGATTGCATGATTCTTTGTCCATAAAGTGGGGTAGAAATCCATTCTTCTTCAGGTCATGCCCGAGTTTCTTCTCCCTAATCGCCAATTGATCTCTGATTGACTTGAAACTTGCGCCTATGCTTCACTTTATGTGCTAGGACCTGAAATATGACAAAGGAACACGACCTAGCGTAAAATAGGCCAAAGAAGCAATAATGCAAGCTTAAACGATCAAGAAACAAAGGGGAAAACATGTGCAAATATCGAGTCATCACGAAGTCAATGGAAGCTGAGATGACGATGAAGAAGCGGGGGCGATTAAGGAAGTTCGAGCTCCTCCATTGACGATGAGGGTAATAGAGTAAGTGGGATAGGAATTTGGAGAAGGAGTTGGATTTGGTATGAGAAAAAATATACATTTCGCAATGATATGTAGCCGTCACCAAAATAAGTAGTTTGTCGAAAAAATATTGTTCGCGATGATAAGTAGCTGTCACTAATTAAATTGATAAAGTAATTGTCCACCGTTTATCAGTTAACGGTTAATCGACAAGCCATAACGAGTCGACTAACGGAAGTGATTTTCTAACTCCAATAAATTTTATTTTATTGGTGGATATTATTGAGAATAATGGACTACGTTTGAGAGGCCCATATTTGTATATATGTCTCGGAGGGAACTAGTGTAGGGTTTGGGAGTAAAAGAATATATATAGGTGATTGTAATGTGTCCTGCGGATTAAGAAGTAATAAGAAAACCTAATAGTTTCGGCCGTGGACTAGTCTCGTTCATCCTGAACGAGGAAACCACGTTAATCTCTGTGTCGTTTCCAATTCTGTTTCGTACTCATTCAGTTTCGATTTACATGATATCAGAGCCAATCGCTATGGATTCCGATCATATCTCTACGCATCTCAACTGAAAGAACTACGCTCTGTGGGTATTCCAATTTCGAATCTTCATCGAAGGGAAGGGCTTGATCTCGTGGCTTGATGGTTCTTCCAAGAAGCCCACCGCTCCACCCGCCTCTATTCAGGAAGCCTCGTAGTGGGCCTCGAATGATGCTAAGGTGAAGTCTGCTCTCCTTAATTCTGTCGACCCGTCAATTGTGCTTGGGCTCCGTTTGCTGCCGACCGCTAGGGATGTCAAAAATATCCGTAACCGTGGATATCCGCCCGAATCCGACCTAATCGAGTAGGGTAAAACCCGAACCCGAAGGACTTTTAGTGGGTACGGGTAAAACCCGAACCCGAATATTGCGGGTAATGGGTGGGCATGGTTTTCGCACTATCCAACCCGAACCCGCCCGATTATACACATGCATATGTATTTTGTCTAGAAATAATCAATATTTTTCTCTAACATACTATATTTAGCATATAAATATCATTTTGTTTATGAAATTATGTTGTTTTAATTAATTTTCTTCATCCTAGTGAATTATTGTCGTACTTTTCGTCTTACGTAACGTGAGAATACGTGTAAATATTAACATATTGGTTGGAGTTATAAAGAAAAACTATTATCCATGGATAACCGTGGATACCCAAAACCCGAACGGGTTTGGGCATGGTTTGGATTTTCTACCCGTTTCTTATGTGGGTATGGGCATGGGTAAAACCCGAACAACTTTGGGTAGGGTAACGAATATGCACTATCCGTCCCCGACCCGACCCATTGCCATCCCTACCGACCGCCGCCGAGATGTGGACGAGCTTTGCCGAGACGTACGCCATTACAAGTGCCGCGCGTCAGTTTGAAATTGAAGTGGAATTGGCAAATTTGCATCAGGGAGAAGAAGATGTTGCTGGCTACTACAATGCTGCCCGCCAGCTGTGGACAGAGCAGGACCTTGTTGGCGCGTCCCTAATGTCGTCTGCTGAATCCGCGGAATTCCGAGCTGCTTGAGATCATAGTCGCCTTCTGCAATTCATGGCGCGCCTCAATCCAGTCTTTGAACCAGTGCGGGCTACTCTTCATAATCGGGAGAACTTGAAGATGGCAGATGTCTTGGGTCATTTAATTAGGGAAAAGACTTGCCTGCGTACGCACGCATCCTTGGACACTAGCCCAGGCAACGGCGAGTTCGCGTTCAGCACTGCGAGTTCGGCCAAAAGCAAGGCGCTGCCACCGCCTCTCCGTTCTGACCCGAAAGGCCACAAATCAGCTGCCGACTCTGATGAAGATTCGGTTGGTGAGGTGAATGCTGCATCTCGCCCACAGTTTCAACGAAGAGTTCCCTCGGGGAACGTCGAGTGTCATTTTTGCCGGATCAATGGGCATACTAAAAAATATTGCAAAAAACGCAAAACGACACCTAAAATTACTTAAACAAAAGCGTCATTCGAATAAATAAACATGTCTCAAGGAACTGACAGTCTGACACTGAGCCTTATCCCTACATTTCATTCGGCTAGTCTCTATGTCAAAACAGGTTGTGCTCAAACCGAAGCTCTTTAGGAACACCACACATTATCAATTAAAACCATAAAGTCGTACGCAAACAGAAAAAATGGCGTATACCTAGGAAAGAAACTGAGCTCAACCAAGGCATGCTTTGGCATATTAATGAGTGTTAGTTGCAGAACAGTTTACTTACTTTAGGGTCGATTTCATTAAAGTAAGTGTCATATGCTTTCAACCACATCCATTTTAATACATGGCTAAAACGTCAATTTCAATCCAGACATTTCAAAGGCAAAAGGAGGACAAAGTAGGGATGACAATTTTGATCTGACTCGTTTTATCCGATATGTTTTGTGGTGGCCGGGTAATAACCTCCTTGTAGGCTAGGTGGGCATGATTACTCTCCTTGACCTAACTCGAATCATTTTCAACCCATTTTTGTCGAAACTACATGTATTTTACTCAAATTACTTTGAATGTTGATTTTATTTTCTCATATTTTAATTATAATAAAGTTGTAAATGGGTGAGAACACAATTCATCGAATAATTTAACTTTGTCATGTTGTAGCTTGATTCTTATTTTATTAATGTAAAAATCAAATATATCTAATATTTTTCCTTTAAATTACATACACATATGAGTTGGTCTACCCCAACCCACATCTTATGATAAATTATCTTACATGAATCCGTTCGATTAAGAAAGTGGTATGGGTATTGGTCCGACCTCTCGTGGAAATGCTGCTTAAAAGCGCCACTATGCATTTAAAGGGCTGCTGCTAAGTTTGAATTAAGCAAAATTCCAAATTTTATGGCCAGGGCGCGACATTAACTATAAAGGCTAGATGGGATTTCCAGTAATAGAGAATATAATATGGAAAAGAGTAAGATGGAGTTTTTCAATTCCATTGGGAAAGACCCAAATCAATTCCATCAAAATTCCAAATTCTATGGCCAGGGGAAGTCATTAATTATAAAGGGTAGATGGGACTCAAATAAATGAGAATATATCAATATAATATGGAATAGAGGAAGATGGAGTTTTTCAATTCCATTGGGAAAGACCCAAATCAGGCCCAAATGGAGTAGAAGAGAGCCCATCTGGCGCAGATATGGATGTCACACTGGGCTGGGGGAACAAAACGCACCGGAGCAATTAATTAGTGAGAAATGATAGTAGTACCCCTCCGAAAATCAATCTCAGCCCAGCAATTTCAAAATGGAGAAAATTGGAGACATGAATCTCCATTATATATTTGTAGATGGCAATTTCATCAATCCGACCTCCAAAAATTAAAGACCACACATTTTGAGTAACAAACAAACACGCATTACCCTGGTTTGGAGTTTGGTATAGAGTTTCGTTAGCGCGTCGCGGTGGCAGTGGACCCCACCCCGTACCGTTCCTTTCGTAACCCCCCTCCCTCCCTCGCCTGGACGCCTTCTCCAATTTATAAGCACCAAGGCTGGACTTCCCCTTCCCCTCGCTCTAATTCTGCAACAGCCTCTTCTCCATTGCCATTTTTCCATCTTCTACTTTGCTGCCTTTCCATAACTCGTCTCCCTCTGTTAAACCTTGACTCAAATTTTCCTCCATTTCCGGTTTTGTCTCCGTAATCACTCTTTCAATCAGGGTATCAGCTACCGTTTCCTTCGCCGGGAGTTTCCATCTCTTGTACCGTATTTCTCTTTCTATCACTTCCTCTGTTTGGTTCCCGGGGAAATCGTCTGGACTGCCAGCTCTCGCGTTTCTGAAGATTATTCAGTCAGAATCCAGCGGTAAGATTCCGACTTACTTCGGCTGTAGATATATCATATCTTTGTTGTGCGAGACGAGTTGTACCGCTCGTTTATCGTCATCAATCATCTTGTGCTTTTCTCATGCTCTGCAATCATTTTGCTGGCGTATGTCTCTGTATACTCATGAAATTGAGCTGTCTGGCGCAATTGTTGTAGAATAGCAATGGCTCATCTGCATAACAATGACCTCGAGTACGTTGTTGATGAGTATTACGACTCCGATTTCGAAGAGGAACCGCAGCTTCAGAAGGGGGACGAGATGGAGTCTTTGGACTCGGACTTTGAAGACGATTTGGAGTTTGTATGCCCTGATCAGAGAGTTTAATTCTTCATTTGTTTGCTCCATGTGCTGTTGTTTTGCTACGATTGGTGTTCTGATGCATGGAATTCGAATCGCTGCGCCTTGTTTTGCTGCAGAACAAGTCCAGCACTGACACAACTGCTGTAGAGTTGAGGAACGGGAAGGATATACAAGGAATTCCATGGGAGAGGCTCAATTACACTAGGGACAAGTACAGGGAGACGAGATTGAAGCAATACAAGAACTACGAGAACCTCTCTCCCTCTCACGAGCAGATCAATAAGGTTGGTACCTTGCCTAATCTGGTGCACTTCTTTGTATCATTCTGCAGATCCAGCGCTTCTTCGATATAGAATTGCATGTTGCTGCTGCTAATCAATTCCATTTATATTACTTGCTTCCACTCCAATGGGACTCCTCGGCCAGTAATGATTTAGAACAAATCTTACAATTTTGATTACAGGAGTGCCTTCAAGTAACGAAAGGAAAGACATTTTATGACTTCCAGATGAACACAAGGCACGTCAAATCGAAAATTGTGCATTTTCAGGTAGAGGCCTTTATCCCCCTTCCTTTTTTCTTTTCTACCGTCTGAGGAGTCTGGATAATGATCGAGTTTCTAGTTGCCTTGTGCAATTCTTCGGTTTTTCCTTTTGTTTCGCTTCATTTCTTTAGTTTATTTAAACTTAAAGTGCCTACTCGTAATTTTTTCTTGGTTTTTGAGAATTTTATTCCACTTTTATTCGGATTTATTTTATGTTCGTTCGGAATTTATCACGCTTTGAGTTAATAATTCTCAATTGAGGGTCTTGGAAATGCCTTTAGGCTGCCGCCATAAGGTCTTATGGGACTTGGCACTGCATTTTTTCTACATCAGTGTCGTTGCATTCAATTGGCTATGCATCTCATTCTTCACAAGATTTTGCAGGTCATGCGACTCTATGCATCAGTCTCTCATTACCCTTATATTTTTTAATATAGAATGCCTGACATGTTAGAGGTATGACCTAGTTCAAATAATCCCTCTTATGTTAGTCTTTCAATTTTCTTAATTTTTGTGATGCGCCGATGCGCTGACCGCAAAGTTCCAGATTTGGTTTTACTTCAGTATGGCCACCAGTCACATTGCTCTTCCTGGCTTCAAGCTGGTTATCTATGAATTTAGTTCCAAAATCCTTAAAATTAAATTAATATTAGCCAATTTAGTTGAGTTCTGTGTGCTTTCAAACATTGATATTTCAGATGTCAGTCATGGTTTTACATATCCCTTCCATGTTTAACACCGTCTCAAGCTTTAATGTTATGGACGTGCTAAGGTTGAAGAATTCCACACTTAGATTTGGGGATGAATCCACATTACCAGAGTTTCCACTTTAAACTGAAGCCAGGGTTTTGCTTCAAGCAAGATGTTTTTGATGGCTCTTACGTAGTTTGCCATATTAGGATGCACTACTTGCCCACATCAAATTATCATGCTCCTATAAAGTTTCCGAATCTATGTTTACTGAGAGTGCATCCTATTGACTAAAAGATTTGTTGATGTGGCAGCCGGAGGATTTACATGCATTCCTAATCAACTGACTCTTTTGTCCATGATTCCTAACTTTTCATGTTGACAATCTTCTTTGTGCTGGAAGAACCCTTCTTTCAGTTGCATATGTTTTCTCTGTTGCCTCTACCACCCGAGTTGTATGTACTTTCATGCAGTAGCACATACTTTTAATCTGTTTCCTTGATTCTATATATTTATAATGCATTGTAAGTTCTTTTGTGTATAATACTATAACCATTGCATGTTGAATCTATCTGTGGTTTAACCCATCTGTGGCATTTAGAACTTCATCTCTCTATTTCAGCATTATAAGCAGGCTGGAAGTAATATGTGAGCAGCTGCCGGGATTAAGGATACGATATTTCTATGGTATGATAGGAAAATATTTGACAACTCAAGGAGACCTCCAAATCATTCTTTTTTGTTTTCTTGTTTAAAGTTCAGATAGTTTGGAGCGAAGGGAGCTTTCTTGTTTGGTCGAGTTAGTTTATTCCCTTAATCTACGGTCTTTCTTGCAAGTGCTAGTTTTTTTTATTAGTCTTGGACTCAGCACTTTGCTAGAAGACGACTATAAAAAAAATATATTCGTGCTTGATGTCTTCTCTTCGCAACTAAATGCATCCATATATCCACTTTTTATTGGATGATTGTTGGCACCAAGGTTGAACTTAGAGAGTGGCTAATACTATCATCCTCACAATAACACTGGACTAACCAGTTGAGGTTTCCATACATCCATTTCCATGGCCGTGATAAGCTTATCACTCTTCTTCCTGTGTGTAGTCTGTGCGATTCTATTTTATCTTTTAAGGGCTACTGTTGTTATGTTGGTAGTCTCGATGTGATTTGTCTTGGGGCAAACAGTTGTGCATATGTTATTTCTGGTGTTGAATGCTGTCACTGAGGTGTTTGGCAATTGTGTTTTTCTATTGTAATGTCCAGCTGAGGAATCTGTTGTGGGCTACATCGAAGCATGATGTCTACCTAGTGGGAGACTATTCCGTGATGCATTGATCTGCCTTGCTAAGAAAAAGGAAAGAAGTCCTCAATGTGGCCAAACCAGTGGTTCCGACCTTGGTACAACTAATGGGAGCAGTTTGGGTTAATTCTATCAACTTTATGATCCTGAAAAAGGGTTAATTTTACTGGCAATTATTTTGTACGCAGAAACGTCCGGGGTTGTTCACACAATCACTTTCCCGAGTGCAAATAAGCTCTATGGCTGTAAAAGACAACATATTGGTGGCCGGTGGCTTTAAAGGAGAGCTTATATTCAAGGTTTGGCCATTGATCCGTAGCTTTGTTTTCCTGATGTTTTTTTTCTTAGTTTTTTGTCGCCAGTGTACTGCTGTTTGCCTAATTGGGTGTCTCATTGTCCAGTATCTTGATCATCCTGGAGCTGCATTCTGCACCAAGCTGACATCAAATAAAAATGCCATCACCAATGCGGTGGATATCTACAACAGCCCCAGGTGGAGACTATACTATATGCGTCTGACACTCCAAAATTTCCCATTTTGCCTAGTTAGGTGAAATCTGAATTCTTTATGCCTTCTCTTCTATCTGCATGCAGCGGCTCAATGAGGATTATGGCAGCAAATAATGATGCAAAGATTAGAGATTTCGATGCCGTGAGTTTTGCCTGCACAAACCAGTTCTCCTTTGATTGGTCCGTAAATGTAAGTCTCCTCTCCTCCTCCTACCTTGAGCAATGCAATCTCTCATTTGAACAGACTCGAGAGTAGTTTCTGAGTTGAAATGGTTGTGCCCTCTAACAGAGCACCTCAGCTAGACCTGACGGGAAGCTGGTAGCGGTCCTTGGCGATAGCGTAGAGTGCTTGCTTGCTGATTCGCAGTCTGGGAAGGTAGCTACTACCCTCAAAGGACACTTGGACTATTCCTTCTCTCCAGCATGGCATCCGGATGGCCGGATTTTGGCTACGGGCAACCAGGACACCACATGCAGGCTATGGGATATCAGGAATCCTTCCACATCTCTGGCTGTGCTGAAAGGAAACATGGGGGCCATAAGGGGACTAAAGTTCACGTCTGACGGGCGGTTTCTGGCAATGCAAGAGCCTGCTGATTTCGTGCACGTGTTTGATGTGGAATCTGGGTATGTGAAGTGCCAGGAGATTGATCTGTTTGGGGAGATCGCCGGGATATCGTTCAGCCCGGATCCAGAGTCTTTGTTTGTTGGTGTAGCAGATCGTACTTACGGCAGCGTGTTGGAGTTTAGTAGAAGGCATTACGACTGCTGCTTCGACTCCTTTTTTGATTAGATTGCTAGTGTTGTGTCTAGATTTATGTATGTATGCATGTATGTATATAGAAAGTCCAGATAGTTCACACCAAAAAAAAAAAAACAAAAAAAGTCCAGGTAGCCTCGCGTTTTGGTTGCTTCTTTTCGCTTTCTGAACTATCCTGGATTCTGTACTTGGCTTGCACAAGTTCTCGTTTGGTTCTGTTCCGCGGTTGCAATATGCCTGTGTATTTGTTCCCTCAAGCCATGTGTTTTTGCTATTTATAGCTGCTGCTGAAGGAGGTGTAATCTCCTCTTATCGGCTAGTGATATCTGTTATAAATTATAATGCTTTTATAAAGGGTTAATATTTTTGTATGGCCTGAACTTTGACCAAAATAAACATTCTGGCCAATCTTTTCGATCTATAACATCCTGGCCCGAACTATACACCAAAATAAACAATTTGGCCAAACCCGATGTTTGACCGTTAACTTGGACGGTCAAACACGTTGACTAACAGTCAAACCGCCACGTCACTGCCACGTCACTGCCAAGTCAGAATATCTGATAAATATTTAATTTTTTTGTTTTTTATTTTTTGGTTTAAATAAGGTATTAGATGATTTTTTTAATTTATAATAATTTAAAATTAGAGAATGTGTGGAAATTGTGAATTATTTTAAATATTTTATGCTGACTTGGCAGTGACATGGCGCGTTGACTAACGGTCAACGCGTTTGACCGTCCAAGTTAACGGTCAAAAGTTGGATCTGGCCAAATTGTTTATTTTGGTGTATAGTTCGGGCCTGGATGTTATAGATTGAAAAGATTGGCCAGGATGTTTATTTTGGTCAAAGTTCAGGCCATATGAAAATATTAACCCTTTTATAAATTATGGAAGATACCTTAGTGAGAATGCCTAAGACAATTCAAAATCAACAGAGAAGATGAAGTTGTAAATTGGGGATGAGATAGCATGCCTTAGAGACAGTGACGGAGTTTGGATGGGTGGCTTCTGCAGCAAGATTGGCACAGGGACTGCTCTCCTAGCAGAACTGTGGGGCATATTTCATGGTCTTAATTTTGCTTGGAATCAGAGGGTTCAGCTGCTTATTCTTGAGACAGATTCACAACTAGCTGTGGAATTGATTAACAAAAGAAACGATCTAGTTCATCCTCACTCTACTTTGTTGTCTGCTATTCGCAGGATGATGTCAAGGAATTGGATGGTTTGGCTAGTTCATACATATCGCGAAGGGAATAGAGTCGCAGACTGGCTCTCGAAGCACAGTCTCGTCTATCCCTTCGGTATGTATGAATTAATCGAGCCTCCAACGGGTTTAGATCGGATCCTTTGGGAAGATATGATAGGTATTAGCTTCCCGAGGATGGTAGCCTCTGGATAGCTAGTGTCTTTTTTCTGATGGATTTTGCCTGTTCTGCCCAGGGCCTGCGTGTGTGCAGAGCTACCTGTGGCTGAATTTGTTTTGCTGTATCTGAGTTCCCCTGGCTTGTAGCCTCCCTCTAATAAAAAAATGACACTATTAATTATAGATTTTTAAGGTAATTAATTTGTGTTGCATTTAATAATCTGTATGAATTAAAAATATATATGAATTACTTTCCTTTTTTTCAGTGCAATGATAGATGTATCAGTGCAATGATGGTTTAAAAAAAGGAACGTAATTAATATGAGTTTAGTATACATATACAATGATAGTTGCATCAATGCAATGGTAGTTAAAAAAAAGGAATGTAATTAAGTTGAGTTTTTAATTTCCAATGATTATTAAATGTAACACGGATTTAATATAAAAAATAACTATAATTAATAGGGCTGTCATTTTTCCAACTCTTAGAAGAGTTATGTAATTCACTTGTATACGACTTAGGTGACAAGTGTTTGAATAACATATTAATTATTAATTAATTAATGATAGTTGTATCAGTGCAATGGTAGTTAAAAAAAAGAAATGTAATTAGGATGAGTTTTTAATTTCCAAATATTATTAGATGCAACACAAATTTAATACAAAAAATAACTATAATTAATAGGGCTGTCATTTTTCCAACCCTTAGACGAATTAGGTGACAAGTGTTTGAATAACATATTAATTATTAATTAATTAATTAAAAGCACAAGTAATCCAAATTGCGGGTCACTGTTGCTTACGAGAAAAACGGATCACTTATTTATTACCATAACAAAGCTTAATTACTGTTCATTATTGTTTTGTAATTCCATGCGGGTGTGTACATTAGCTGGCGGGGTTTTTCCCCCCCAAGTAATGACATGATAAAAATAGTTAGTAACCTCTATCCAAAACCCCACCCAAAGCAACACTTAGTGAAGCCACCCTATAAAATTAAAGGACGCTACCTCTAAAGAGGACAGCAACAGAGTTTTAGGTGCCACTCTATGGGCAGCTCAGTTGGCCGTCCGTAGAACCACACTAAAAACTATACAAAGAGAGCATGAAACTAGAAGCCGATGACACTCTTGAAGCAATGAGCCGCCTATCGAATCATCCACTGTTCTACGGTCCAGTTGTCGAATCATCACTTCAGGATCACCTGGCAGTAGGGATGGCAATGGGTAGGGTCGGGTGCGGGTTACCCTATACCAACCCCTAACCCGCTGGGTAGAGCCTTCTAAAATACCCGACCAAATAACCACCGGGTATGAAAATTATATAACCATACCCTACCCACCGGGTAACCACGGGTATTCGGGTAACCATGGGTACGAATCCTAAACTATGAACTTATACACATATATGCACATACATACTATTGTCCATTAAAAATTCTCAATACTTGTAATTATTCTAGCTTCAACAATCCACACAAATAAAAACAACAAACACATAATAATTGTTCTTGCTTCTATAATCCACACAAACATAATAATCGTCTACATCTTCATCATCAATAATGGTAGCTACACTCAATTTCTCAAGCTAAACTAAATTTCTCAAGGGAAAGTGACCCTTTGGTTAGCGGGGCAGGTATAACGGGGCGGGTATTATCGATTACCATACCCGTATCCTACCCTTTATTTTGAAACCGGGTATTACCCGTACCCGCCCCTTAACCCGTCAAAGCGGGTAATTACCCTTGTTGACCGGTTACGGTCGGGTAGGGTACCAATGGTTACGGGTTGGATTGACATCCCTACCTGGCAGCAAGGTGCTCTGCTAGATAGGGATCGAAAACTACTTGGTGCTAAGATCCCAAGGCCAGTAGAACTTGCCCGTCTGTCCCATGAACGACGAGGCCAAACGAGCAACCTGAACGACAAACAACAACATCAAAGTTGATCTTCACAAAGTCTGGAGGCGGGCGTTGCAAAACGGAAGGAGGAGAGGGCACAAGACTGAGAGAGTGGTCCTGGGGGATGAAAGGCTAAGGAGTGTTCAATGACTTGGAAATGGATTGACGGGCAAGAGAACGGGCGTGTGGCTAAGTATATTCAAAAACCACTTTGTTAAGAGATTTCTAGATTCTCCTAAAAGGCAAACGCATGGGAGAATGTGGGTTTGGAAGTTTACTGAAAACATAACATTGTCGCCACCATATATTAAAGTTTGAAGTTTGGGCAGAAGCAAACAAATCACTTAATCCCACTAAAAGTCCATAGCATGATGACAAGAGCGCAATGAAAGAACAAATGTTCAATAATCTCTTGATATTCCCAACAATCTAGATATTTGAGAAAACAATTTACTTTAGGAAATTGAAGAGTCACCATAGTTTGCAATGTCGTTTAACATAATACAAATACAATTTAAAATAATACAAACCATTCTTAGTGGAAACCCATATCCGCTAATCATCCACTCTTCAGCTTTGTCGTGATTTATTAACCCTAATTAATTTTTCTAACAAAAAATATTTGTCATACCATTTGCCAAAAAACCAAAAATAGAATTCACATTCTACTACCTATGGGCCTCAAATTAAAATGAATTGAAGGAAATGTCATCAATTCTAATAAATTGAGCTAATGCCTCATTAAGTTAATTATTGGCTAAACACAAAAAAGAATCGGAAGTAATTAATGGCGTTTTTAACCACAGCCTGAAATAATGGGCGTCCTCCATTCCGATGATTAAATGCTCATAAAATCCTAACGGATGAAGCTTTTCCGATGAGGATGAAGTTTTCCCCGGTGAGGATGCCATTTTTGCCGCGAGTTCCATTTTAGCTACCAACATTTTAGCCCCCTCTTAAAACTCTCCCAAAGAAGAGCTAAAATAGCCTCTTAAAACCCCTTATAGCCTTTTATTTTAGCTTTCTTTGTTTTAGTACTTAAATTGAATATATTTGTGTTGTTGTGACTTGTGAGTGCTTTTAACTAACGAAATTCTTTTCGTAGTAACTTTCAATTGTCACCAGTCGGACACCGTGGATGCAACGCTGGAGCAAGGCCAATCTACAAGATGGAATTACTTGAAAAAATGGGATTCTGATATGATCCCAAATAGGCCAATCTACAAGATGGAATTACTTGAAGGAGAAGTAAGTCAACCTGCCTGAAGAACATTTATTTTTGTGTAAGCATTTTAACTGTTTCAGATAGCCTACTTTGCAAGCCTCTTCCCACGTGTTGAAGTTGCATCTTCGGTTCCACCCTACCAGCGAGACCCTGTTCTTGGCTGGGTTTCCTTCTCGTGAGAACTGCATCAGCCAAACCGTTGGTTGATTGGAGACGTTGTGAGCTTTGATAAACTACAATCCGATATCCAGCTTGTATTAGATTCATACATCGATAGGAGGTCGATCGAATCAGCTCCCTGAGGAATTACCCGAACATCATATGATAGGAGTGATCCGAAGATGCCAATAGTGGGCTCTAAGGTGAGTTTCTCCATCCTAGGTTAAAAAGCTCAATTGGCATGTAGAACTCATGCAATTCATGAAAACCATCCAAATCTTACATAATAAACTCAATCAAACATAGGATTTATTACATACATCAACATTCATCCAAAATCTAAACCTAGGGTTCATCAACCTAAGAGAAGAGGTCTAGTTCATAGAGAGAACAGAGAGATTATAAAACATGCTCAAGATCTTCTTCTTCTTTTAGGATTGTATCCTTGTCTCCAAGATCAACCCAAGCCTCCAATTACGCTCCAAGATCTCTCAAAACTCTCTCTCTCCCTCTCTCCCTCTTTGGTATTTTGGGTCGAAACCCTAAAGAGAGAACCAAGTTCTCCTCCAAAAACCAGCTCTCTTTTCTCTCTCCCAACTGCTGTCTTTATATTTCCCGATAGTGTCGACTTCGAGGTCACTATTCATGGGGGTGATAATAGCAAGCAAAGGGTAATCTCGGCAAAAAACACACCATTTCGGGGTATTTTCATGGTCATGGGGTATTTTCACGGTCATGGGACCGTGACAATTTTTAGGCCCGCAACACGCACAATGGCTGCTGGAAAATGCAAACTTCACGGTCTGGGGGTGATTTTCACCCCCCCCCCCCCAGCGTGATAATTGAGTGTTGCCGCTGAAGTCTTGCTCTTCACTCCCTGGGGAGACTTTCAGCCCCTCAGGGCGTGACATTTGCCTCCTGCCCATGAACATTGCACAACCTCCACTTTTTGGCTTGTTTTGACCTCTGAATGACATGAAAATCGTCACGTACCTTCCAACACATACTAGGACCTGAAATGTGACAATAGAAGCACGACCTAACCTAAAATAGGTCGATGAGCGACGATAACCGAGTAAAACAATCAAGATATGAGGGTGTAAAACATGTGTAATTATGCCTGAATAAAGGTATATTTGGGGTGTTGGGACGGTCAATGATCAAATGAGCCAATGGCTTCCCATGCCCAGAGTCAAGTGAGAAAACTAAGCATAAGGCAAGATTCAAGGTATGAGAGGTCTTCTTTTCGTGGAGGTGGACGAGGAGTTGATGTCCCATTGTGGTGAGTTGGCCCTTCGGGGGGGGGGGGGGGGTCTCTGGTTGGTGAATAGAGAAAGCATGCAACCCATAGGACAGAGGAGGTATCGATGTCAATGTTTTCCGAGCTTTTAGCTGCTCAATTTGGGCTTGAAGGTTTTTGATGGACGATGGAGGGGTTGGCTCTTTTTCAAGAACTCCCACACCGGTTTGGGGATGTTGGGAGCTTCGAGACTCCATTAAGTGTTGGAGCTAGGATTTCTTTGACCTTTTACTCCAAGGTCCCACAGGGGGCGCGCCAATTGTTGATGTCAGGGTTGTATTCAGTGTGGATTTTTTTTATGTTAGGCATCAATGTTGATCGATGCTACCTTTCACCTCAAACTTCTCTCGTGATGTCAGCTCTGGTCGTGTCCTACAAAAAGGGTTTGCCCGCTGATTTTGACGGGGACACTCTCCGATGCTCAAGTTAGTGAGTGGGTAAAAGGGAGAGGAATATGACCTCGAAAAGAAAGATGAAGGAATACAGTTGAGACTGAATATATGCATTAATCATAGTGAGAGTTCACGAGTCTAGGCATGAGGATTTTTTGCTTAGCTCATTCTGGGAACAAAGTGGCCTTTCATAGAGGTCTCTAGGCGAACATGAATGGGGTACGTGTAGGGCTGGCTATTTGGTCCGGGACCGGATGTAAAACCAAAATCTAGACCATATTACCCGGATCATTTAAGACCGGAACCAGATGTAAAACAATGCAATCCCGTCTTTGGTCTCAAAATAGAAAAACCCAGACCAATCCACTCCAGTCAAAACCGTGTAAAAACTGGAAGACTGGTTAACTCAAAAACTGACCAGCCTACCCAGACCCAGAAGCAAAGCCCACTAGGCACCAGGCGAGCCCACTATCACTTCGCCCAGCTTACCCAAGTGAGCCCAGCCAGCCAAACCACTTTGTTTTATAGGGTTGGCAGACTCACTCAGTCACTCTCCCTCTCCATTCCATCGCAAACAACACACCTCCAATCCATATCCCTCCCAACCGCAGTCGCCGTCCCGAACCCCCTAACCCTAAAATCGACAGGCAAATACGACTGTGCCTCTACTCCGACCCACCTTTGCTTTGGCCACCTCCACTCCGATCCACCTCCGCGAAGCGACGCCAGCCTCAAATCCGACCCGGCGATTGCGACGCGCCATTGGCCTAAGCTCTTACCTAGCAACCATGACCACCGACCAGCGCCTCGTCGACTCCGTTCTAGGTCTGACCTAGCGAACGCCGACCGCGACGACTCCAACATCTCGTTCACACTTCACAGCTCATATCCTCTATCATAGGTCGTCCACATCTCGTCGCCCTTCGTCCACTATTGGGGAACAGTTGCTGAGCTCAGAAAAGATGGAGGGGAGCAGCAGTTGGGTGAGTTACTAAGTATATTAGTAATTAGTTTTAGTTTTTAGTGATGAATTGAATGGTGAAATCTGATGAACTTGGACTGGATGAGTTTGTTGTTGATTAGTTTTTGTTTTTTCTTCAATGGAGAAGGGAGAAAAGTGCATTTTCTGATATTAATTAAATTTTGTGGTGCAGGGTAGTAAGACGCGAGTATCGGTTTCAAGAGGAGATGATAATTTGCCTCCTCTTCCTAGTAAGAAGCAACCACAATCACAAGCTTCAAAGACAGCTATTGAAAGTGGTAACAACAGGGGAAATATTAATGTTCAAGCCTCAATAACTCACGAACAAGAACCGACAATAGCTACCAACACCACAACACTTGTTATGGAGAAGACCGGTAGGGAGTATACGTTAAGATCACCTGTATGGGACCATTATGATTGTTACAAAGATGATAAAGGCAAGAAGAAGGCAAGGTGTCATTACTGTGGCAAGTCATTGGCTGGGGATCCCTTGGGGAATGGTAAAAGTTATTTGGGTAGGCATACTGAAAGGTGCATGAAGAAACTACAACAAAAGGGGAAGCATTTGAATCTAGAGCTCAATCCAAGTTCTGTTGAAGGGCAAGGAGTTTTGGGGAGTTGGAAATTTGACCAAGCATTTGTTAGAGCTGGGTTAGTTGAAATGATAACTATGGATGAAATACCTTTTGGAGCGTGGAGAAAGAAGGGGTTTAGCGCTTCATGGCACGTGCTTGTTCGATTTTTAAGATTCCAGGCAGGAAAAAAATTAGAGAAGATTGTTTTAGATTGTTCCTTGAACAGAAAGACAAGTTGAGATATTACTTCAAGATCAAGTGTGGAGGAAGGGTGCCCATAACTACTTATAGTTGGAATTCTTGTCAAAATTTCAACTATATGTGCATCACATCACACTTTGTTGGGAAGGATTGGAAGCTTTACAAGAAGGTGATAAGGTTTTGCAAGATTACAGGTCATAAGGGGATTAATCTAGTTGATGCAATAGCCGATTGTTTGGATCATTGGGGTTTGCAAAATATTTCATAGTCACAGTTGACAATGCAAGTGTAAATGACAAGACACTTCTTCATTTGAGAGATCGACTTGAAGAGTGGGGTACAAATATATTTGGTAGAAAGTACCTTCATATGCAATGTATCGCTCATATAGTGAATTTTATTGTGAGCGGTGGTTTATAAGAGATGGGCATGTCAATAAGGAGGGAGAGAGAGGTTGTGAGATGAGTTAGATCATCACCATCTAGATTGACAAAGTTCAAGGAGTGTGTGTAATTTCACGACATTGGTGTCCCTCAACATGAATATTGGAAGAATGTAAAAGCTTTGATGAAGTATTTAAAATTCTTTCATGATTTGACTTTGATTGCATCCACTACTTCTGTTGTGTCTGCTCATCGATTCTTGAGAGAGTTTGGAAAGATATTCTATCATGTTCACAAAATGATGAATAGCACAGATGATGACATAGTTAGGATGGGTATGAAGATTGATGACTTGATATATACACATGTTTTTATCCACCATTCTTATGCCGTTTGAGCCTCATTTCTCGTATCTTAGGCCGATTTCATGCTAGGTTGTTCTTGTTTATGTTATTTCAGGTCCTAGTACGTGATTGGAGGTTTGGGAGCGAGTTTCGGGTCGATTGGACGAAAGTTGGACGTCTGGCGAGAAGCTGAGGAATCCACACGGTCAGACCTAGCAGCCACACGGCCGTGTGGTGTGGCCGTGTGGAATCCCATTACGCCGGAAAGCCACACTGGCCGTGTATTGGGTACCTTGAGGCCCTATGGAAATTCCAGGGAATTCACATGGTCAGACCGAGATTCCACATGGCTGTGCACTTCAGGCCGTGCAGCGTGCATGAAGCTCATTAGATGGAACGTCGCGTTTTGGCACTCACACAGGCAGACTGGGAAGACACACGGCCGTGTGGTCGGGAAATTCTGGGTTTTAACCGAATTTCGAGCCTACGGAGAGGGAATCGATTTTCCAGAGAAAAAACAGAGCCCTAGAGAGAGAAAGTTTGAAAAAACCCCCTAAGAGTGATTTTGGAGCTGGGTTTCATCAATCAAGCTTGGAAATCATCCTTGGAGTGAAGATCATCATCCCAGAGCAGATTCTTCCCATCTTGATGAGTATGACTGCTTTGTTTGCTGTTTCCCTCTCTCTCTCTCTCTCTCTCTCTCAATGGAGCAGAACCCTCTCTCACTTGGGTATGAAGAACCCTAGTTCTATTTGTTAGGGATCATTGTTGTAACAACGTTTGGATTGTGATATTGTTTGATTATAATCGAATGAAGTGTTTTGATTGTGTCAATTGAAGCCTGATAATCTTTAATTGATTTCTACTGGAACCTGAGATAGATAGAATCTGATTAGGTTGTTAGAGCTTCTTCAATCGGTAGTAGTGAATCGATTATACGAGAGTTAGTCGATTTAGTGCTTTGTACTGGAATTCAGTTCCAATAGTGGAGTTTTGTGTTCATAGCCTCAGCTTTCTATCCTGGTGAAGACTACTCGTCTGCCGGGTAGTTTGACTGAGATGGTTTGGTCAGCTTAAGAGATTCCAAGCTACTGCGGATCTTCCGCAGTATAATTGATGGCTTGATATATACACATGTTTTTGTCCACCACAATTGTATCGTTTGAGTCTTATTTCTCGTGTTTTAGGCCGATTTCACGCTAGGTTGTTCTCGTTTGTGATATTTCAGGTCCTAGTACGTGAATGAAGGTTTGGGAACGAGTTTGGGGTCGATTGGACGAAGACTGGACCCCGGGTTGACAATTAGAGCTTGCCTGTTACTGCATTTCCGGACTGCGATTACACTTGGTCGCAGTTTGGTGTTGTGTTTTAGCGTATCAAGTTTTTGGCGCCGTTGCCGGGGAACCTCTAGGTTATTGGGGAAACGTGAACGTTTGTAACTCTAGCTTTTTTCTTTACTGCATTTTCTCTCTTCCACCTGTGTGCCTTCACGGGTTACTTTTGCTGATTGTGTGCAGGTAGTGCATGACCCATAGCCAGTCGGGAGATTTACTACCATTAGACCAAGAGCTTGAACGGACCTGTAGGAACTTCAAGTGGGCTCTAACGGCGCGACTGACTGCGGAGGAGGCGCTAGCACAGCTGCAAATCGCCGACGAAGAAGAGATGGGTGACCCACAGGACCATGATGTGGTCCTTCCCGAGGAGCAAACCATGGGGTACTACTGGACCGTCAGAGCCGCGGACATGAGGTCTCCCATTTAGGGCTGCAAATGAGCCAAGCTACTCGCGAGCAACTCGAGGCTCGAATCGGGAAAAACTCGTTCGAAACTCGATTCGTTTACTGACGAGCCAAGCTTGAGCCTAGCTATGTTCAGCTCGTGAAGCTCGCGAGCTAGCTCGACTCGGTGGCTTGTTGAGCTCAACTCGTGAGTTAGCTCATTTAGAGCTCATGAGATGTCTCAACATTGTGGTTTGAGGGCAAACTTGATCACTGACTTATGGACTAATCGATCTAATTTGGACTTTCATAATTCATAGGATTGTTAAATTATATATCTCACATCATGTGAAGTTTAACATGTTGAACATGTAAGAAAATATGCCTTATTTTTAACTCTATAAAGAAATTATGTACAAAATTATTTCGATACTATGAAATAACATGATTTGAACTAGTTAAAATTTATTAACTAAACAATATGACACCTAAAAATTATAATATAAGATTAATTAATGTTGAACATTTGATTATTTTTTTATCACTACATCAATCACATGTACCATACACGACATACAAAATGAATGTATTAAATACGATCTAAGAATTTAGTAAACAAGCCTAACTCGAAATCGACTCGACTCAGCTCGTTAATAAATGGCTCGGGCTCGAGCTCGGCTCATTTGTTAACAAGTCAAGCTCAAGCTGGGGTAAAACTCGGCTCAGCTCGGCTCATTTGCAGCCCTACTCCCATTCAGTACCCTCATGTACCAGCCAACAACTTTGAGGTGAGCACCTCGGTCATCACTATGTTGCGCGGCTCGGTAGTATTCCGTGGCAAAGAGGGGGAGTGCCCCCGATCACATCTGAGGCGATTCCACGAGCTCATCGATGGAATCAAGATAAATGGGGTCCCAGCCGATGCTATCCAGCTGAGGTACTTCCCATTCACTTTGGAGGGGCAGGCCAAGGAGTGGCTGGACACCAGGACCCCTGGATCGATCACCATGTTCGCCAATCTGGCGGACAAGTTCCTCACTCGCTACCATCCCCCGTCCAAGATGGCGGACCTGCAGAAGCAAATTACCCACTTTGTTCAGGATGAAGATGAGACCATCCGGGATGCTTGGGAGAGATACACCGGTCTCTTCCTCAAGTGTCCCAACCATGGTTTTACTGACGCCTTCAAGGTGGGCACCTTCTACCATGCCCTCTTCCCGGAAGACAAGAAGCTGATTGACTCGGTCTGTGGCAGGAATATGCTCACCAAAACATCGCCACAGCTGAATCAACTTTTTGAAGAGATGACAGAGCAGGGCTATGATTGGGGAACTGCGAGGAGATTGAGACGAGCACCAGGGTGGGGTGTGCATGCTGTATCACCCAGTCATCTGATTTGGTGCAGGTGGTATCGAAACTAGTTTCAGCCATCAATCGCTCTGGGATGATTCCAGGGACCGGAAAACAACAAGCGATGCACTGCCAGTGGTGCGAGAGCACCCATCACAGTGCGGAAGACTTCCAGGCGATGAGGGAGTCGACCACACCCCAGGAGCAGGTAAACTTCATCAATAATGCCAGGCGCAATGACCCCTACAGTAACACGTACAACAAGGGGTGGCGCCAGCATCCCAACTTCTCCTGGGCTGGGGCCAATCCTAGACCACCAGCCTCCCAAGGACCGCCAGGCTTCCAGAGGCCGCCATATCAGCCTAGACAAGGGCAATTCCAGCAACAGCAGCAGCCTCTCTACCAGCCCATGCAGGTGCATGCTGCTCAACAACAGCCGCGGCCCTTCCAGCAGCCAGGTGCAGCCCCTGCAACCCCAGTGCAGAATGATCCGATAGCTGAACTGCGGGACTTGGTGGGTTCTCTTGCCAGTTCCAGTGCTCAGAAATTCAATACTATCGAGCAGTTCATGGAAAAGGCCTCTGGCAAATTCCTGGCTCTTGAAGCTGGCCAGAGGAACACACAGGATGTCTTGCAGGATATCCAAACCCAGCTGGGGAGTGTGGCTCAAGCAGTGGCGTAGAGGGCTCCAGGTACCTTGCCAGGTCATACCATTCCTAATCCGAAGG